CTGTGTACGTGAGCGCGTGTCTTTGTGTATTAAAAGGGTTTGGTTTTCCTCCCCATGTGACAAAGTGCCTTGTGTCCTGTATGTCACATCTCTTGGAGCTCGCTCGCTCTCTCTCTGTCTCTCTCCCTGGGATCGTCGGCGTGTCTGCCGTCCCTCCCGGTTGGTTTCGGGGATGGCGGGGGTGGGGGAGGGGGCGGCGCGAAGAGGGTCACCCCGAACCCACAGAATGGCTGGAACCGTCTGTCTCCATTCCTGCTCTGAAACGACGTCTCCTGTGTACAACAGGAGCAACGTCCACCCTCGCGTTAAACAGCAGAGGGGGTGGACTATTTTTGTTAATGCCATTACCCAAGGAATCGTAGCCTCCTCGCTAAAGGGTATGTGTTCTCCGCACTCCCGGTTCTCTCGCGCAGGCAGTATGGCCCCCAGGCCTACTCCGGATGTGGGCAGAGTAGCCAAAATCTGCATTTCCAAGCCAGCCTAATGCTGACCCTGCTATTTTAAAACAAAATCCCAATAGCCTCAGGGTCACGGTAGACCCATACAGCACAGAAACAGGCCATTCGGCCCAACCCGTCCATGCTGACCCAGATATCCTAAATTAATCCAGTCCCATTTGCCAGCATTTGGCCCCTATCCCTCTAAACCCTTCCTATCCATGTCCCCATCCGGATGCCTTTTAAATGTTTAACTGTACCACCCCCCCACCCACTTCCTCTGGCAGCTTGTTCCATACACGCACCAACCTCTGTGTGAAAATGTTACCCTTGAAGTCCCTTTGAAATCTTTCCCCCTCTCACCTTAAACCTATGCCCCTCTAGTTTTGGACTCCCCTACCCCTGGGGGGAAGAGACCTTGGCTATTTACCCTATCCATGCCCCTCATGATTTTATAAACCTCTATAAGGTCACCCCCTCAGCCTCCGACACTCCGGGGAAAACAGCCCCAGCCTCTCCCTGTAGCTCAAACCCTCCAACATCGTTGTAAATCGTTTCTGAACCCTTTCAAGTTCCACAACATCCTTCCTACAGCAGGGAGACCAGAATTGAACACAGTATTCCGAAGGTGGCCCTAACCAATATCCTGTGCAGCCGCAGCATGTGAAGGAGAAAACAGAGTTAACGTTTCGGGTCCGCTGACCCTTCCTCGGAACTGATGGTGGCTGGGAAAACGTCAGTTTATATGCAGAAAATAGGGAGGTGGGTGGGGTAGGGAGTAAACGATAGGGTAGAGCCCAAAGCGAGAGAGAAAGACAGTTGGATTAACAAAGGATTTGCTCACGATCAGGCTGGGAGGGTGAATAGTTGTTAATGGGGACTGTTAGTGACTAACAACAGGGGGTGTGTAGTGGCAGGCTATGTGGTAACAAAACCTGGTGTGTGGGGTAGGGGGCTGGGACATGGGAGAGTTTAGGCCCTAAAATTATTGAACTCAATACTGAGTCCAGAGGGCTGTAGGGTCCCCAAGCTGAAAATGAGGTGTTGTTCCTAAAAGTATTCCAAAAGTGGCCTTTTTCTGATGAAGGGTCTAGGCCCGAAACGTCAGCCTTTTTGCTCCTGTGATGCTGCTTGGCCTGCTGTGTTCATCCAGCTCTGCACCTTGTTGTCTCGGATTCTCCAGCATCTGCAGTTCCTACTATCTCACCAATGTCCTGTACAGCCACAACATGACCCTCCCAACTCCTACATTCAATACACTGACCAATAAAGGCAAGTGTACCAAACACCTCCTTCACCACCCTGTCTACCTGTGACTCCACTTTCAAGCAAGTCCTCCAGGGAAGGAGATAGGCCTGACTCCAGACTCCATGGCGATGAGAGTGGCTGTTCACTGCCCTCTGAAACTGCATTACAGTCGTTGCTGTGGGTCTGGAGTCACGTGGAGCTCAGACTGCATGTTTGTGTGTGTTATTTTTTTTACCCCAATCCCCACGTACCCCACAGTGGGGGCCGAACGTACATCCCCTGGACATGAGCCTGGCGTTCAGGATGAACTCAGTTTGATAACATGGAACTAGAACGGAGAGCTGGCTGGAGGACAGGCGTCTCAGGACGTGAACTCTCTCCTTCCTGCCCGCCTGCGAGGGTTCCTGGGGAAAAGGAGCTGATTTGGTTCAGACTATCGCACATAGGAGCAGAGTTTGATATATTTGTAAACTCCGTTCCCCACCAACCTCCTCCCTCTAAACTTTGCTCACGCAGAATCTATCTCTGTCTTAAATACACTCAAGGACCTGACCTCCACTTCGCTGTGTGCTAATGAGTTCCACAGATTCACTACCCTTCAAGGATACAACTGCAGGGCTGGGGGGAGCGCGCAACAGGATGTTTCTGAGGTTTTTGAAGGACAGTGGATTTGGCAGGAGTTCAAGCACGAGAAGGGTGATACCATACACAATGTAGAGACCACAAGACAAAGGGAGAGACAGGCAGAGAGCCTCAGCAAGGCACTCACAGAGGTAATTTAATCCCTGCCTCCTGGGCTTTCAGCTGACAGCTGGATAGCGAGAGGCATTCAAACCTTACAGTCACTGACGTGGGCATGGGGTGGGGGGGAGCCACACGGACCATTCTCATCCATAAATACCTGCACCTATCAAATAGGGAGGGGATGGGGGGGG